ATTTCAAATTAAATTTTGGAAAAACACATCGCCACAGACCTGAGTTTGGGGTCTTTTTTTTTGCAAGAGTGCCGAGAATAACGTTGGCACAATCGTTTCAAACACTAAGTAATACAAAAGATAGTGTGACAGGGAGTAAACCGAACTTCGGGAGGGAAGAAGGCACTGAAAACAGCTTCAGAAGTGTCTCGAAAACTAGCAACCGTTTCTGAAAAATCAACACCGCCGGCGTTAGTCGATTTTTCTTATGACGACACCGATAGGGTCGTTAGTCGATTTTTCTTTTGACGACACCGATAGGGTCGTTAGTGGATCGGATGTCTTCACTTGTCCGTCACTCCAATTCAAATTTTGGAGAAACACATCGCCCCAGACCTGAGTTTTGGGTCTTCTTTTTTGCAAGAGTGCCGAAAATGACGTTGGCACAATTGTTTCAAACACCAAGTATTACAAAAGATAGTGTAACAGGGAGTTAATCGAACTTTGGGAGGAAAGTAGGCACTGGAAACAGATTCAGAAGTGTCTCGAAAACTAGCGACCGTCTCTAAAAAATCAAGACCGCCGGCGTTAGTCGATTTTTCTTATGACGACACCGATAGGGTCGTTAGTCGATTTTTCTTTTGACGACACTGATAGGGTCGTTAGTGGATCGGGTGTCTTTGCTTGTCCGTCATTTCAAATTAAATTTTGGAAAAACACATCGCCACAGACCTGAGTTTGGGGTCTTTTTTTTTGCAAGAGTGCCGAGAATGACGTTGGCACAATCGTTTCAAACACCAAGTATTACAAAAGATAGTGTAACAGGGAGTAAACCGAACTTTGGGAGGAAAGTAGGCACTGGAAACAGATTCAGAAGTGTCTCGAAAACTAGCGACCGTCTCTAAAAAATCAAGACCACCGGCGTTAGTCGATCCACTTACGACAACGATGGGGTCGTTAGTGGATCGGGTGTCTTCACTTGTCCGTCATTTCAAATTAAATTTTGGAAAAACACATCGCCACAGACCTGAGTTTGGGGTCTTTTTTTTTGCAAGAGTGCCGAGAATGATGTTGGCACAATCGTTTCAAACACTAAGTAATACAAAAGATAGTGTGACAGGGAGTAAACCGAACTTCGGGAGGGAAGAAGGCACTGAAAACAGCTTCAGAAGTGTCTCGAAAACTAGCAACCGTTTCTGAAAAATCAACACCGCCGGCGTTAGTCGATTTTTCTTATGACGACACCGATAGGGTCATTAGTGGATCGGGTGTCTTCACTTGTCCGTCATTTCAAATTAAATTTTGGAAAAACACATCGCCACAGACCTGAGTTTGGGGTCTTTCTTTTTGCAAGAGTGCCGAGAATGACGTTGGCACAATCGTTTCAAGCACGAAGTATTACAAAAGATAGTGTAACAGGGAGTAAACCGAACTTTGGGAGGAAAGTAGGCACTGGAAACAGCTTCAGAAGTGTCTCGAAAACTAGCGACCGTCTCTGAAAAATCAAGACCGCCGGCGTTAGTCGATTTTTCTTATGACGACACCGATAGGGTCGTTAGTCGATTTTTCTTTTGACGACACTGATAGGGTCGTTAGTGGATCGGGTGTCTTTACTTGTCCGTCATTTCAAATTAAATTTTGGAAAAACACATCGCCACAGACCTGAGTTTGGGGTCTTTCTTTTTGCAAGAGTGCCGAGAATGACGTTGGCACAATCGTTTCAAACACCAAGTATTACAAAAGATAGTGTACCAGGGAGTAAATCGAACTTTGGGCGGAAAGTAGGCACTGAAAACAGCTTCAGAAGTGTCTCGAAAACTAGCGACCGTCTCTGAAAAATCAAGACCGCCGGCGTTAGTCGATTTTTCTTATGACGACACCGATAGGGTCGTTAGTCGATTTTTCTTATGACGACACTGATAGGGTCGTTAGTGGATCGGGTGTCTTTACTTGTCCGTCATTTCAAATTAAATTTTGGAAAAACACATCGCCACAGACCTGAGTTTGGGGTCTTTCTTTTTGCAAGAGTGCCGAGAATGACGTTGGCACAATCGTTTCAAACACCAAGTATTACAAAAGATAGTGTACCAGGGAGTAAATCGAACTTTGGGCGGAAAGTAGGCACTGGAAACAGCTTCAGAAGTGTCTCGAAAACTAGCGACCGTCTCTGAAAAATCAAGACCGCCGGCGTTAGTCGATTTTTCTTATGACGACACCGATAGGGTCGTTAGTGGATCGGGTGTCTTCACTTGTCCGTCATTTCAAATTAAATTTTGGAAAAACACATCGCCACAGACCTGAGTTTGGGGTCTTTCTTTTTGCAAGAGTGCCGAGAATACCGTTGGCACAATCGTTTCAAACACGAAGTATTACAAAAGATAGTGTAACAGGGAGTAAACAGAACTTTGGCAGAAAAGTAGACACTGGAAACAGCTTCAGAAGTGTCTCGAAAACTAGCGACCGTCTCTAAAAAATCAACACCGCCGGCGTTAGTCGATCCACTCACGACAACGCTGGCGTCGTAAGTGGATCGGGTGCCTTGACTTGTCCGTCATTTCAAATTAAATTTTGGAAAAACACATCGCCACAGACCTGAGTTTGGGGTCTTTCTTTTTGCAAGAGTGCCGAGAATGACGTTGGCACAATCGTTTCAAACACCAAGTATTACAAAAGATAGTGTACCAGGGAGTAAATCGAACTTTGGGCGGAAAGTAGGCACTGAAAACAGCTTCAGAAGTGTCTCGAAAACTAGCGACCGTCTCTGAAAAATCAAGACCGCCGGCGTTAGTCGATTTTTCTTATGACGACACCGATAGGGTCGTTAGTTGATCGGGTGTCTTTACTTAACCGTCATTTCAAATTATATTTTGGAGAAACACATCGCCCCAGACCTGAGTTTGGGGTCTTTTATTTTGCAAGAGTGCCGAGAATGACGTTGGCACAATCGTTTCAAACACTAAGTATTGCAAAAGATAGTGTAACAGGGAGTAAACCGAACTTCGGCAGAAAAGTAGGCGTGTCTTTTTTTTCCATGACGACACCAGTGGGGTCGTTAGTCGATCGGGTGTCTTGACGTCTGTCTCTGTCGTTTCAATTTCTTTTTCGAGAAACACATCGCCTCAGACCTGGTTTTGGGGCCCTTTTTTTGCATCAAAAGCCATGGCACTATCGTTTGAAACACCTGTTCTTCAAGTGTTCTAGAATCTGGTGTAATAGGAAGTAGTCCGAACACTGGGGGAAAAGAGGCCCTGAAAGAGCTTTAGACGAGTCTCGAAAACTCGCGACGTCGGCGTCAATCGATTTTTCTACGACGACACCGATGGGGTCGTTAGTCGATCGGGTGTGTCTCGACGTTTTTTTTCTTTTCTTTTGTGACGACACCGATAGGGTCGTTAGTCGATCGGGTGTCTTGACGTCTGTCTCTGTCATTTCGAATTTCATTTTTGAAAAACACATCGCCTCAGACCTGGTTTTGGGGTCCTTTTTTTGCATCAAAAGCCATGGCACTATCGTTTGAAACACCTGTTCTTCAAGTATTCTAGAATCTGGTGTGATAGGGAGTAATCCGAACACTAGGGGAAAAGAGGCCCTGAAACAGCTTTAGACGAGTCTCGAAAACTCGCGACGTCGGCGTCAGTCGATTTTTCTACGACGACACCGATGGGGTCGTTAGTCGATCGGGTGTCTCGACGTCTGTCTCTTTTCTTTTGTGACGACACCGATAGGGTCGTTAGTCGATCCGGTGTCACCGATGGGGTCGTTAGTCGATCGGGTGTCTCGACGTCTGTCTCTTTTCTTTTATGACGACACCGATGAGATCGGTAGTCGATCGGGTGTCTTGACGTCTGTCTCTGTCATTTCAAGTTTCTTTTTTGAAAAACACATCGCCTCAGACCTGGTTTTGGGGTCCTTTTTTTGCATCAAAAGCCATGGCACTATCGTTTGAAACACCTGTTCTTCAAGTATTCTAGAATCTGGTGTGATAGGGAGTAATCCGAACACTAGGGGAAAAGAGGCCCTGAAACAGCTTTAGACGAGTCTCGAAAACTCGCGACGTCGGCGTCAGTCGATTTTTCTACGACGACACCGATGGGGTCGTTAGTCGATCGGGTGTGTCTCGACGTCTGTCTCTTTTCTTTTATGACGACACCGATAGGGTCGTTAGTCAATCCGGTGTCACCGAGGGGTCGTCAGTCGATCGGGTGTCTCGACGTCTGTTTCTTTTCTTTTATGACGACACCGATGAGGTCGTTAGTCGATCGGGTGTCTTGACGTCTGTCTCTGTCATTTCAAATTTCGTATTCGAAAAACACATCGCCTCAATCCTGGTGTTGGGGTCCTTTTTTTGCATCAAAAGCCATGGCACTATCGTTTGAAACACCTGTTCTTCAAGTATTCTAGAATCTGGTGTAATAGGGAGTAATCCGAACACTGGGGGAAAAGAGGCCCTGAAACAGCTTTAGACGAGTCTCGAAAACTCGCGACGTCGGCGTCAGTCGATTTTTCTACGACGACACCGATGGGGTCGTTAGTCGATCGGGTGTGTCTCGACGTCTGTCTCTTTTCTTTTGTGACGACACCGATAGGGTCGTTAGTCGATCCGGTGTCACCGATGGGGTCGTTAGTCGATCGGGTGTCTCGACGTCTGTCTCTTTCTTTTATGATGACACCGATGAGGTCGTTAGTCGATCGGGTGTCTTGACGTCTGTCTCTGTCATTTCAAATTTCTTTTTTGAAAAACACATCGCCTGAGACCTGGTTTTGGGCTCCTTTTTTTGCATCAAAAGCCATGGCACTATCGTTTGAAACACCTGTTCTTCAAGTATTCTAGAATCTGGTTAAGTAGGGAGTAATCCGAACACTGGGGGAAAAGAGGCCCTGAAACAGCTTCAGACGAGTCTCGAAAACTCGCGACGTCGGTGAAGTCACGATATCGATCGCGTGCCCCCGAGGATTCAGGATTCGATTGTTTTACGGAAATGTATTTTGGGATTTCTTGACGCAAAGCCATTATTCACATAATGACTCCGCCATCCGAGTTGTCCAAGAGGATAGGAACCTGTGCCGACGCCGTCCGCTTCGTTTTGAGAGGAAAGGATGGGTACCCATCGTCACAAGAATCCTACGAAGAAGTGATACAATATCTGCCTGCCGAGAAGGCAACGGGGTACACGAACACCAATCTGGTCAAAGCTGCTGTCGAGTATCTCAAGAAAAGTTTTGCCACTTCGGACACCTCGGATCGAAAGATCAGCATCGCGCTCTACGTCGCCATCTACGTCGGACACGATCACGATCACGACGACGGTGTGCTGGCGAAGGAGTTCTGCAAGCGTTTCCAAGACGTTGAAAATTACGACAAGCACATGATGACTAAGATCTTCAACATGTCTCTGTGCAACGACAGAATCCTGGCGCTGTTGGACGCAGTCACGTCTTCGGGAAAAAAGAAGAAGGACGTAATCGCGTTGATCGATCACGAATTCCGCGTGGAGTTTGTCCTGCTCTACTTCAACGTTGTGAAGAGTCTCGTGCTTCGCGGCCAATCTCTGACCGACTTCGGCTACCCGGCGGAGTTGACGGCGGATGATGTCGAGGCGGCGGAGAAGACATTCGACAACCATGTTTCATCGATCGCCAACAAGTACTGGCCTTGCTTCAAGATGGAAGCTTTGAAGAAACCTCGAGTGGTCAACAACCTGTTTCCCTCCGGGGACCAGCTCCCTCGCGTGGTGATCGGCCGCGAACACATCGACTTTAAACTGGCGACATTGGACACCCTTCGAAGCAGTCTCGATGACAAGGCGGGGAAGGGCGAGTTCCTGGAGATCACGCGGGCCCTCATCTGTCTTCCAATCCGTGGGCCGGAGGCGACGTTCCGTGACTTGCATTTCGAGTCCGTGAAGAAATACTTCATGGAAACGATCCTGGGTACGTCTAAAGTTGGCGAATTGATTGAGACGATGTCCCAGGCTGTGGACCACGCTGACGTTCAGGCAAAGCTGGCGTCGTCGGAAGAGGAGAACTCGCTTCTGAAGGAGGAGATATCAGTTTTGAAGAGGAAGAACTTGGAATTGGGGGAAGAGCTTGACAGTTATTCCAGTCTAGAAGAGAGGTATCGCTCAGTCCTCAAGACTCTGTCGACCAAAGACGAAAAGCTGGAACAGTACGAGCACGAAAATCGTCGACTGAAGCAAAATGAGGCCGGGTACAAATCGACGGAATCGTACTGTAAACAGTACCATGTTGACAAGAAGCAGCGTCGTAGCCGTGGTCCAGAGCGGATGGACAAGCATTGGATGCTTCAGCAGCGTTTCGACGACGAAGATGAGTAAAAAGGGTAATTGAAACGAAGCGTGTGAAGGAAACGAATATGGATTTCGCAAAAATTTGTGTTACACCTTCGTGTCAACCCGATCGATCTACGATTGTTTGACGGAAATATATTTTGGGGTCTGGTGACGCAAAGCCACTATTCACATCATGACCACACAATCTGATTTACCCGAAAGGATTACGACATGCGCCGACGCGTTTCGCTTTCTTCTCAAAGGAGATGATGCGCACAACTCGTTATACGAATCTTACGAAGAAGTGATGAATCTTCTTCCTCCCGAAAACGCTACCGGGCACAGCAACACGAATTTGGTCAAAGGTGCCCTAGAATACCTCAGACAGGGTTTCGCCGATCCCGACACCCCGGATCGCAAGGTGAGCATCGCGCTGTACGTCGCCATCTACATCGGACACGATCACGATGACGGCGACGGTGTGCTGGCGAAGGAGTTCTGCGAGCGCTTCCAAGTCCTCGGAAATTATGATGCGAACGTCATGACGAAGATCTTCAACCTGTCTCTGTGGAACGACAGAATCCTTTCGCTCTTGGACACGACGATCGCCCCGGGCAGGAAGAAGAAGGATACGTTCACGATGATCCATCGCGAATTCCGCGTGGAGTTTGTTCTACTTTACTTTCAAGTTGTGAAGAGCCTTGTGGTTCGCGGCCAATCTCTGACTGACCTTGGTTACCCGACGAATCTGACGGCGGACGATGTCGAGGCGTCGGAGGAGACATTCGACAAACACGTGTCATCGATTGCCGACAAGTTCTGGCCTTGCTTCAAGATGGAAGCTTTGAAGAAACCTCGAGTGGTCAACAACCTGTTTCCCTCCGGGGACCAGCTCCCTCGCGTGGTGATCGGCCGCGAACACATCGACTTCGATCTGACTACGACAGACACACTTCGGGACAGTCTCGATGATAAGGCGGGGAAGGACGAATTCGTGGAGATCATGCGGGCCATCATCTGTCTGCCGATGCGCGGGCCGGTGGCGACGTTCCGTGACCTTCGCTTCGAATCTGTGAAGAACCATTTCATGAAGACGATCTTGGAAACGAGTCACGTGGATGAGTTTTTGGGGGAGATTCCCGAGACTGTTGACCACGCCAACAATCTCCAGGCACAGCTCGTATCATTGAACAAGGAAATTTCAGCTGTCATGAAGCAACTCGAGAGTCACTCCACTCTCGAAGCGAAGTTCCAGACTCAAAAAGCTAAACTGGCTGGGTACGAGAGTGAAATTCGTCGACTGAAGCTCAACGAGGCCGGTTTCAAGTCGGCGGAATCGCACTGCAGGGAGCATCACGTGAACAAGAAGCAGAAGAAAGAGTGTACTGGTCGCATGGTCAAGGACTGGTTGCTTAAGCAGCGTTTCGACGATGAAGACGAGTGAAATTCCTTTGTTCGTTTGTCAAAGTCGAATTGTAATGTATTGTTGTGTATATTCAAAAATTCAATGATGGAGGACTGGTCCGTTCGGCTTCACCCCGTGGATGCGGACGGGTCGTGCTTTTTTTCGTCGATCGCAATGGCCTTGAACGGGTCCTTGCACAGCTGGAAGGATAATGATAAAATACGAAATTTGTTACGAGATTACTGGCACGGCTTCCTCGAACTGGGCGTGGAGTCCCCGGACAATTTTACGCCGACGTTCGTAAGGTACATGACGTCGGTCAGCATCGATGAGGCCGATTTGAATGCTTACAACGACATCGCGAGCGCGGACGCCAAACCCACGTTTGATTGTTTGACCGATATGGCCGAGCATGACCTCCACACCAACTGCTGGGTGGACACGGTGACGTTCGGCGCTTTTCTCAAGTCTCTCGACTGTGCGATCGCCGTGGTGGTGATCGACGAGGCAATCACGGCACCACTAAGTGTGCCCGAAGAACTGACGCGAGACAAAGACTTTTACATTTACTTGTGGCTACAGGACGACCACTACCAACCTATCCAGCTCGTGCACGTAGGCCAAGACTTGGCGATGTGCGTGTCACGCCAATCCATCCTCGAATTCATGAAAGACTGCTACCCTCAACACTCTTGTAAGTTTTAGCTAAACTAGGGCGTCCGGTATCCACTCCCGAAGTACATGGCGTCGAAGAGCTGGTGAGGGCATATCTTGGGACGATCGACGCGGGGCTTCTTGCCGTCGATGGTGTCCCTGAGCTTCTTGTTTTCTTCCAAGGCCTCGGTGACCTTGGTCTTCTGCGCCTCGTGCATGTCGACGACGCGTTTCTTGTCGGCGCTGGCTTGGGCGAGCCGATCCTCGTACATGTCGCGAGTGCGCTTCTTTTCTCCGATGACGGCGGCATACTTTTTCTTTTGTTTGTCACAGACCTTTTGTAGGCGGTCGTTTTCCTGCAAGGATTGGTCCAGGCGAGAGGTGATATCCTCGTGGCCAGCGTCCAACCTGCTTTCCGCCATGTCAGCCTTGAACGCGAGGCTCCGATTCGTCGCCAACAGGCTTTCCTTGTCGGCTTCCAGTTCCGAACACCTACGTTTTTCTTGCTGGAGGAGTTGGCGTGTGTCGTCAAGTTTGGCTTCGATGGCGCTCAGCTCTTGGGCGAGAGTCTTGACTTGATTCTCCAAAAGAATGGCGTCCTTGTCTCTTTGCATTGCACAATCGGCAGCAGCCTTGTCCAGCACATTCTCCAGCAAAAAGGTCTTGGTGCTGTTCAGCTTGATGGTCTCGAGTGTGTCGGCGGGTGTCTTGTGGGAAAGTGACACGATGGCGAAGATGATGTCCAGAAAGGTGTCGGTCTCTTTCGAATTGGAGAGAAGGGACGATGTCAGCACATCGAAGCCGCAGCCGGCGAAGTCCACGGGATCGGTCCCCAGAGTCGTCGTTTGCGGAGGAGCGCCGTGCGCAGGGAAGAGGTTGAGTCTCGGGCGGCTCTTCTTGAGCGCCTTCAGCTTGAAGCACGGTCCACACATGGCGGCGATTGCGGATGCGTGCTTCTCCAGGATGTCGCGGGCGTTGGTCATGTCGGACGGCGTTGCGCTCGTCGCGTACTCCAGTTCACCAAATGCGAAATCGTGGTTGTTGTTGCCGTGGTGGTGGCCGCGGCGAAGGATGCTTTCCACGATACCAAAGAATAGCAGAACGAATTCCACGCACAGCTCGTGCTGGATGTCTTTGCTGACGTGCTTCCGGTGAATTATGACGTCGTCCAAAAGAATGCACACTCTGTCCGTGACGATGGAGAGATTGAACACCTCTACCATGAGGTGCCGGTTTAAGTCTTCCACTTTCCGCAGACGATCACAGATCTCCTTGGCCAGGCCGGTCTGCGCTCTATCGGTCGCGATCGACATTGCCACGCAGAAGGCGATCCTGGCCTTGCGGTCGGACGCCGGGTCCTTGTCGAAGACCTCGGCCTTCATGAACTCCATGCACGCCTTCGTCAGGTTCGTGTGCGCGTGCTCCGTCTTGTCCTCGGCGGGCAGAGACTGCATCACACGATCGTACGATGTTTTCCAGTCTTCCTGCTTGTCGTGTGCGCGGACGCACCGTATGGCCTCGGAACATTTGATGATTGTATTAAAAAGCTTGGAGGATGGCATTGTGGTTTGTGGCGACGTGGGTCCCCACCCGTCGACTAAAGTGTACAATAAAGTTTTATCCCCCTGCGCCCCACATAGGCCCCAGATTTCATTTCTTCTTTTTTTTATCACAGATGATGAAGCTGTTTGCGCCCGTGCCTCAACGACTGGTTAACATAGCAAGCCTGATCGAAGCCTTCGCCAAGGACGCCAAGGACGCCAAGGACTCCAAGGACGCCACGGACGCCGCAGTGAGAGAAGTCTGTGCAACGTGCCTGCGGTGGTCGAGCCTCACGTTCGGAATCAAGGAACTGAGGATCCAGTACGCGGTCGACGCGGAGATAGCCCGTTTCGCGAGGTGCGTGTGTGCGAGATGGTATTTATCGTAAATGCCATGTCCCTCGAAAATGCGAGATGGGATTTATCGTAAATGCCATCCCCCTCGAATATGCGAGATGGGGTTTATCGTAAATGCCATCCCCCTCGAAAATGCGAGATGGGATTTATCGTAAATGCCATCTCCCTCGAAAATGCGAGATGGGATTTATCGTAAACGCCATCTCCCTCGAAAATGCGAGATGGGATTTATCGTAAATGCCATCTCGGCCAACTTTTGAAAGATCGATGCCATGATACGAGATCGGTGCGATCTTCCATGTCGTTGTCAACAAACAAATCATCACGCACGACCTCCTCGTCGTCATCGACGTCGTCATCACCATCCATCCCCTCCGCACATTTTACCCGTCGGTGTCGTTCCAACGATTCGAATCGGAACCTCAAATTTTGGCGATCGCCCTCCTTCCCCCTCCCCCCACTCCTCACTCCCCACTCCCCACTCCTCACTTCTCACTCTCCACTCTCCGCTCTAGGTGAATTTCACTCAAATACCATGTCAAACTCGCGATCATCATCGTCAAGCTCCACAAGCTCCAGGCTGTTGTCGATCGAGAAGAATCAGAGGTACGATCTGGAGAGCATCAACAAGAACCACACCAACATGCAGAAGAACTACAAGGACATCAGGAAGTCGCAAGAATGTGTGACCAAGCTCGAGGAGCGGATGCTGCAGCTGGAGACGATCGTCGCTTCGCTCAGGTCGTCGGATCCATCGTCATCGTCGTCGTCTACGCCATCGTCATCGCCACCGCCACATCAATCAAAGAAGGTCGTGTACAAGCCGCGGCCTCGTCCGACCTCTAAGTCTTCGTCAACTAAATCTGCACCCGTGCAGCAAACCACGAACGAGATGAAGGTGGCGCACATGCGGAGCGTGTCGGCGCAGCTCCAGCTCGATCGTACGGCGCTGATCGCCTTCAACAAGAAAAACATGGCGTTGCCCGAGAGCGAGAGGCACGTCTGGGACAAGAGGGTGAAGAGGAAGGACGGCAGCGTCGTCGTCCAGCGGTTGGACAGGATCGTCGACAACGCCAGCCTGGACTGCTTGCTGAGAAACGACGCCCTGAGGGCCGTGGTCAACGGCATGCTTGTCGGCGACGGCGGGCCGGAGCTGAGCATGACGTCGACGATCCGCACGAAGTACCGGGTGTTCCTCCGAGACGGCAAGCTCACTACGATCAGCGCGCAGTTCAAGGGCGGCGTCGGGACCGAGTACCTGTGGACGGAGGACGCCGCGCTCCCACGGCCGTCCGCGGACTGGATGAATGGCACGAGGCGCCGAATGGATCCGCGCAGGGCTGACGCCGAACCCCGGACCATGGCGCTGTGGGTTCCCGAAGAAGAAGTTTGTGAGGGGGAGGAGGAAGGAGCCGTGCCGCAGGAGGGGGGTGGCGACGGAGACGACAGCGGCAGTTCGAGTGACAGCTCGAGTGACAGCTCGAGTGACAGCAGCGACGATGACAGCAACGACGGCAACGACGGCAACGGCAACGACGGCAACGAAGGTGACAACAACGACGACAACAACGACGACAACGAGAGCGGGCGTGTCGATGAACCTGTGCAGAAGGATGGTGTTGGCGAGGGTGGTGCAGAGAGTGTAGCACATGGTGCAGAGAGTGTAGCACATGGTGCAGAGAGTGTAGCACAAGGTGCAGAGAGTGCAGCACAAGGTGCAGAGAATGCGGAGAGTGTGGGAGACGAGTCAATCGTTGGCCTTAAGCGCGCTTTGGACGCAGCAGTAGCGGGAGACACGTCTTCGAACTCGGAGTCGGAGTCGGAGTCGGAATCAGTGTCGGAGTCAGAGTCGGAGTCGGGCGCGCCCAAGAGGCCGCGCGTAATGTAGTTGGGATTCAATTTTAGAGTGGTTTTGGCGTGGTCTTTTGATTTTGTTTTGTTTGTTTGGTTGTAACATTGTAGAGAACTTGAGCGTAGAGGAAAAATAATGAACGATGATGAGAAAAAAATGAGAAAAAAATCGACAACAACGGGCTCTGTACGAGCACATGGGGATCGTCTGGATGATTTTGCATCCATTGCGTCGCCGCTGGTTCCCCCGTTGATCCAGACGAATACGATGACATTCGCGGCAACATGAGAGGGCATATCAAGCACAAGTACATCGCTTATTTCAAGAGCGCGGGGCACGTCTTACCGTGCCGATTCTGTAGAGAATCATATCTTGTTGTCCTGACCGAAATTCCAATGGAGAAATACATCCACTCGCGACAACAGCTGTATGAGTGGCTCTTTATCGTACACAACAAGGTCAACGAAAAAGTCGGCGACAAACAAGAGACCAGTTTGCAAATGGTCGTGGACAAGTACAAAAAGTTTAGAGCGACTTGTTCTCCCTCCAGCAAATCACTCGGGTGCACCGAGCCCGCGAACAAAAATGCGAAGATGAGGTGCAGGCTTGTGATTGAACCCGTCGATAGATTCGCGAAAAGACGGATGGTCGGAGCATGTGTCGCCGCGGCCGTTGTAGTGGTCGTGATTGCCCTTGTTGTCGTTGCACGTAAATGATAGCGACCTCAATAAAACTATTCGAAGCCTCCAGTTCCTTCTTTTGCGCCACCACGACCGCCGCTTCTAAAATCTAGCGACATCCAAGGCGATCTCCTCTGTGGTGAACCGGTATTCGCTGCAGCCCCACCTCCAGTTCCACCACCCACCTCGGTGGTTGGGGGTGTTGCCCAACCTTCAGAATTTGTCGGCGAAGACGATGGAGTTGGGCCGAAGCTGAGTCGCCGCCCCCCGGTGTGTGCGGGAGTCACGACCGCCGCAGGCTCAGTGGGTCCTGGCGTTCGAGCGGGCGCGCTTTGACGGCGTGGTGGTGGTGGCGCACCTCCAGATACACCTCCGCCGAACGGCGGTACGTCTCTTGGCGGCGACGTCCTTTGACCAGGCGGTGGCATGGGTACTCCCCCATTCTTCGGTACGGGCGGTGGCATACCCCGCGCACCCGGTATTCCTGAATCCCTTGTGGTCCCTGTGGTCCAGGGCTCCCCCTCCGCCGGTCTAGCAAACCTGGAATCCACGGAGCTGAGAAAGTTGAGCCCATGCTGAAAGCCGCTCTCGTCCAAAATCCAACGTAAGATGGCAATATTTCAGCTCGGTTCCAGATGGGCTACATGCATCTCTCTCGAGACGTAGTTTCAAGGAAACGTGTACGTTTCTCAGAATCGTGGACAAGGACAGCTCAGCCTCAGCAGGGTCGGCTATCGGGAGCCTTCGCTCTTCGACTCGTTGAGTGATTGTCTTGCAAAAGGTACCCGCCGTCACCGTACCAATTGAAGATTTCGTCCCCATCTTCGACTACTCTCGTCGTTTTCAGCCACACGCCAGGAACACCATCTCCGACGGGACGATACCTCGATAAACAGTTTTGGCGGCTTAAAGCAGACACCTTGCCATCGGCGTTGAATCGAGCGTTCGCTAAGGAACCAACTCCTCTTGAGCATGCACAATCAAAGGCAAGGTTTGCCGGACCAGGTATCTTTTCGGTGTACGCTGCTGTCATAGCCCCCGGATAACGTTGATGTATGCAGTTCATCGTCGTTGGTTCACCGGAATAAGGACAAATCCAAGAGTCTTTAGGGAGCCTTGTTGTTGCAAACAATCCTTTGCCTGCTCCAGGAATCGTCGAGTCTTTGATTTCCACGCCGTATTTAATGCAGTTGTGCAACCAGCACACTGGTGAACCAAAACATACTCTGTTCCTGCACCGGGTCCCGTTTGCTCTCGTGTGTGTGCACTGGCCGCACTTCAGCGGGCACGACCAGTCTGCGGTTCGGAACGATAGCTCTGTCGGTGAGCGTCTACGCACAGGCATGTTCGCGCGAAACACTTGGAAAATAAAATAAATCGCGCCAATGGCGCGTCTGCCTAGGTTGTCACAGCCTTCGCACGCACCTTAGTCTCCAGATTAGGCATCCGATAGCCCCGTGACGACCTTGACATGCGTGGACCAAAACTATGGCTCCGTATCACCACCGATTGGTGCTACCGGGGTCAGCTCGGCGCCAGCAATGCAAATGGCGCACGTAAGCTCATTGTGACAGCCGTCTTGTAGTGATGACGACGCTTTGCGAGCGCGCTCAGGACCACCGCTATCCCTATCAGGCTCCGATACGATCTAGAGGAAGGGAAAAGGTGCGGGTGGGAAGTGGGATGTTGGTGGAAAATGTCTCTGGCTCTTTTCCAAAATGTGATGTGGGAGAAAGCTTGACACCAACTGAACTCTACCTTACCTGAATAGGCGCGTTCAGTAGACGCTCCATCTCTTCGTCCTGGCGTTTTGCTTCGGGCTTGCGGCGCTGCGGAAGTAAGGGGGCGGGGTTACCTTGTCACGAAAATGCACGATTGGTCATCATTGAACAAACTGAGAGAAGGAATATGTTCTTCGCGAAAGAGCACCTTGTCTCCGAGTAACCAGTGAGTCGCCCATCGCCTCGTCTCCTTTCTGCGAAACGCTTCCGCATCGCTCTTCTCCTGGTACTGAAAGCCCTCTCTGTCCCGCACGGTGCGCGTGTACTCTTCATCGTCGGCCTCGATCTCCTTCCAAGAAGTGGTGTGGAGAAAATGGGGGAAATTAGCGCGATCAACGCTGTTGTCGTCGGTTGCACACGCGAGTTACTTTAGTCTTGACCATATTCACAACGCACCTCTTCCTCGTTGCTGAACCCTCGCGCCGACATCGCCTCCCACGGGTTTCCCCTCGATCTACCCGTCTTCGTTGTCTGCGCTGTGGCGGAAGCTCTCCTCGTGTTGCCCCCATCTCTTCCGCTGCCGCACGGTTTGTTCCGGTGATTCCATCTACTATCGCCACCTCCGCCGCCTCCACCTCTCCTGCTCCCGTTCCCACGCCCATATCCGCCACCCCCGTCCTGCTCTACCGCTTGGTCGTCAGCAGCTGCAGCCGCCACCACGGTTCTGACGGTCTCAGTGCCAGCCATCTCACCGACCGGGCTCGCGGAGACGTTCAAACCGTGCACAGGAGTCACCGAGCCCACGGGCCGTCACAAGACACTGTCCGCCCCCACGCTTCTAAGCTCCGCTTGCAATTCCTGGCAATTGATGGGATTCCACCTGGGAAATGAGGCCAACGAACGGGTAATTTAACAACGAGGCCCGCAATCCAGGCGCTTCTGCGCATCTATCGTAAAAGATCATCAACGCGGACTTAAAGCCGTGGCAGTACGGAACCTCACCACATGTTGGTGCATTGCCGAATAACGTTGAAATTCGAAGTCGTTTTGTGGCGGGTGTGCTTGGCTCTGTTGTCGCCGATGGCTTTTCGCATCTTCGTCTTGAGTTCGACCGTGATGATGTGCTCGCTGAGATAAGAATGCTGTACAAACGATGAGGGCGAGCAAGGTAAAAGGTCGGCTTAGCAGATTAACTTCGGCATCCATATAGCACACTAAACACGTCAGCAGGAGAGAAACTACACGCTGTTCTACGCGCTTACCGTGACGTTTGTGCTCTCTATCTCCTTGACAAACTCCCGCCACGTGGACGGCGAGACCCTGTCGTTTCCCCCTGCGTTCAGACACCAGATGTTGCCCCTCCGTAGCACCCCGGCCAGCTTCGACACCTGCTCATCCCGAAAACCCTTGCTAAAGTTCTGGATGTACAGTGCCTGGCAAGAACTGTTAAACATTAACGCATCCAGCACGGCATCCATGACGGCCGTGCTCTCGTCCGGTCCGATGTAGTTGTGAAGTTTGAGAACCTCAACCGCCGCGTCGTACGTCCGGATTTTGTGAAGCAGATCGACTACGCATGGCGAATTCAGCGCCGAAGACCCCGGGATTCTGGTCGACCTCCTCAGCACCTATACCAAACCGCTCGCCGAGCCGCCACCTGTGCTTCACCTGGGTCTCGTGCAATCACAACACCAGCATCGGCCTCTCCCGCTACCTGCACTCCACGTCACCTTCCACCAAGGCCTCGCTCGCAGGAACAGGTTGCTCGGGCTCCGTCTCTTGTCCAGCAGCCGGGACTACGGGCGCCTCCGCCAGGCCGTGCACCGGAGTGGCGGATCCCACGGACACACCAGCGCCGTACTGTCCGCATTGTCCCCACCAGACACATGCGCAACCTTACCGGTCACGGTATCGATCGCATCCACCACCGTTTCAGCGGAGCCATCGCATGCCATGCCCGCCCCCCCCCGTCGTCTTCATCTCTCTCGTCATCGACGGCGCCGTGAACAGTGTCCGATGAGCCGCTCCCGCTCCCACCACCACGCCCACCCCCTCACCCCCGCTTGGGCCCGTTCCTGCACTCAGACAGGTATCGGCGAGAAGACGTAGATTGGTCGCATTGTTATCGACGTGCCTTCCCCCTTCTTCCGTCGCACCTCCATTCCGCCATGTGCTGCTCCCGCTACCGTCTCCACCGCCGCCATGGCCGCCGCTACTGCTGCTAGCGCTCCCAACACTTACCGGCACCGCTGCCGATGCCGGCGACGTACGCGCCGCCGCTACCACCTCCTGCACTATTTTGTCCCCTACTGTTGGGTCTGCTGTTGGGTCCCTCTCTACCTCCAGCTCCTGCGTTTGCACTACATCCTCCGATGCTGCTGCTGTTGGCTCATCTACCAGCGCTTGCACCATGTTCTCTGCTGCTGTTCTCTCTGCTACTTCCGGCTGCATCACGTTCTCTACCACCACGGGGCCATCTACCAGCGCCTGCACCAGGCTCTTTGCTGCTATTCTCTCCTCTATTAACGGCTGCAATACGACCATGAGGTCATCTACCGCCGGCTGCACCAGGTTCTCTGCTGTTGTGGTCTCCGTGCCTACCGCCGCCCGCGCTTGCCTTGTTTCCACCCTCTCATGTACCTCTCCCTCTTATCGCCAGTCGCTGACACGAGGGCTACTGGATGAGAGAGTAGCTGCACTTGGCGTTGCCACCGTTACTACAGCATATGCTTCTGTTGCCATTCCTACTACCGACCTAGCTGCTAGTGCATTTTCGACCAGAGCTGCTGATGAGTAGGGGGTGGTGACAACGGGGTCCCTCGTGCGTTTAGCAAGCGTCTTGGGATGATTCATTCCTTCTTGCTTGTGCATACCACAGTGCGTACGAGCGCGCCCGACACCAAGTGGCCGTGACTTTACAACCACCGGCGACACATTTCTTGTGTCGTACGTTTATCATTAATTGCTTGGCGTGATCTGCCCAGTATTCCCTCTTGCCCTCCGATGGAAAGCCATACGAAGGAGATATGTTACAACCGTTGTGCCCACACCTCTTCGTGGTCAGGTTGATCACATAGTCTACCATGTGTCGTCTACATGCCCTCTTCTTTGTCTTGTCCGGTTTCCCGTTCGTATCTGAAAGAAAAAAAGAGTTCGCGATGCAATGCATGCACGCTGCAAGTTTTTGCTTCTGCTGTACTCTACAACTTCGCAGCGGGCTCCTCGCCCCGAGGTACTGTTGTTGTCATTCACACACACACACACGCCACACAGCTACTGCTGTCGAGCTCCCGAGTGCTGCTGCTGTTTCCACACACACAAGGCAACGCCACGCAGCCACTCTCTAGCCCAATACCGAGGCAAAGATGCACAACGGTCTTGTCGGCCACGAGTACTACTGCTGTTGTCACACACACCCTATGCCTCACTATACCCTGTCCTCCAGCATGCCTAACTGTACGCCAAATCAGAAAAGCGGTGGAAATACAACACGTGCTCACCGATGTAGCCATACGAAGCTTTTTGCTGGCAGATTTGCACAGGTCCATGCCATTGCGGTGATGTGATGGAAATGTAGACAACTTTTCTGCCCGCTCTGTCGTGTGTGATGGCGGCAACTAAGACGTAACTCGACTCGTTGACGGTCCTCCAAATACGAGGGCTCTGTGGTGCGTGACGGCTCGGTGTTGTATATGCTGCGTGACGGCCCGGTTTCTGCCAGAGACACGGGCGGAGTTCTGCGCTGCGCGAACGGCCCGTTTTTTCACAGATGCCACCAGCCACAAAAAATTTCAGTCGGTGTCATTTATGGCAGAGAGACAAAAATGGGCTGCGGTGCCGTGAAGAGCCGGAAGAGCCAACAGACATCGCCAGTCGACTACATGTTCCCAACATGTTGGTGGCGATACCTGGGTGTTTCATGTATCAAGAAGACTTGCAAAATCAAGAAAACGTGTGCATTCATTGCGGGCAGCCGCAGCGACAGACGCGCAGACACACAGGTACCGTCACGACAGACAACAGCACCAGCGGCACGGACTACATCCGGTATATCTTACTTCCCACAATCGGCGTATCGGGACAGCGACGAACGTCGCTCGTGCGAGCTCCAAACGACACCAATGCACCTGCATGGACCCGAGCCCCCGGTTGTACTCTTCCAACTCGCTGGTGTTAGTGCCCATGCACATTAGTCGGACGTACTCTGTCCTATCTACACCCACTCTCGTCACACCTTAGAAATCGGCTCACGCTTGATCCGACGCTCTTTTCCCGCAACATGAGCGCCTTTCGCGGAGGCGGCACGGGCCACCAAAATCGACACCGACTGCGCCTCGCGCCTCTCGGGTACAACTGGCTCGCTATCGGCCTTCACGTGGCCGACATGCTCGCGCAACTTTGATAGCAATCGATACTCGCTCACACCACCGTCTGTGCGCACGGCACCGTTCCCTGGAATGCAAGGTCATGAGCTACGGTGATGCCAAAAACATCATTGCTCAACACCACCGGCAGCACGCGGCGGCAGAGTCTCGCCTACATCTTCCGTCTCCTCCTCCGAATCAGACTCGTCCGAGTACGCACTCTGCAACGGTCTCTCGTGAATGCCAACCATCTTTACTGAAATGAAGGAGTGGTAATTCGACTTCCTGATGATCCCGTTCAGGTACTGGTCGATGTCCGAAACTTGAATCGAAGTGTCGTTCACGACTTTGCAGCCCCCGCCTCTCTTGCGATACTTGACTTCGAGCGTGGCACAGCAGACGACGGAGGCCATGGTTTCAGAAATGTGGTGCTCAACGAGAGTACCGAACTAATGTTTACCGGAAATTTAAGTCAGTGATGTTTCTGACAGTTGTTTCCGGGGCATTCAGCCGCCACACAAGTTGAAAGCATATTCTAACAAAGTTGTCTTACCACACAAACATTTTCTTCCTCTGAAAGTGTGAGAAAAGTGTCTGAAGTGTAGTGTACTTTGCTACCCTCGACATCTCTCGTGCCTTGCGCCTCTCGCCATCTCGTTCACGCGCAAAGAATGCCCCGCGAACGGAGCGTGCGGAACAGCCGTAGCGAAAAAGAGGGAGAACTTGTTGACCAAGTTGGCGAACCAAGGAGTCCGCACAACCCCAGCTCTTGTCACACAAAGCCGAACATTACCCGGCGTCAGCAAACTCTGGCGTTTCTCGTCAGACAGGTCGGCATTGGCGCGGACGACGACCACCGCGATTACACTGTCCTCCGCGGACAGCTTCGATACGAACTTCTTCGCGCTTTTCGGCACCGTGTGCGTCCACTTTAGATACGACGTGCCCACCATACTCTCAATCTACACCCTCCGCGCCATGTAAACGATTTTCTGCTTCTTCTCACGCGCAACCCTCTGCTCCTCTGCCGCTCGCTTGCGCTTCTCTTGTTGTGCACTCTTCTCCGCGCGCACCCTCTCGGGCCAAACGCTGACCTTGTCTGCATGAGCCTTGGTCAAGTACGCGAGTGTCATGCTCTCGGGGATGACGCCGTGGATGGCCTTGGGGACGACCGTGGTACGAGCTACATCCGCCCATGACATTGACCGGAATCGTCGAGTGGACGGTGGGCATCAGCTCGGTCGGTATGCCGCCCTTCCCGTAGCGTACGTTGGTCTCTAGGACTTTCGTGCATTCCCGGTGCGCCGGGATTGCCCACCGGTCTCGAGTCCCTCCTTTGTAGCCCCTCTTGCAGACGAGGCACCTGCGCTCGACGAGGGCCTTGAGGTGCCCCAGGCCCCGGTTTTTAGCGATATTGGCAGCTTTTAATAGCGGCCGGGATGTTGTCGTAAACCATGCCTTTTGAGCGCCCGGATGCTCTCGCGAATGAGGCCATGGGCTTGGCATCGGGCAGGAAGGGAGCCACCAGATCGATGCTCACGTCGGCGAGCATGTTACAGAAACGTGGGTGCGTTTCTGTTTATCGTTCAATTGTTATGGTTGAGAACGGGTTGGTCGCGATAGGCGGAAAATGCGTAGGAAACACGAGAAGAAAAATATAATGTGTTCAAGTCAACAGGTCATTGTCATTGGTTCACCGTAATACGGACAAATCCACGAATTGTTGGGCAGTCTTGTTGTGAATAACCCGTTACCTGCGCCGGGGATCGTCGAGTCTTTGGTTTTTACGCCGTTATTGGTGGAGCTGAGCAACCGGCACACCGGTGAACCAAAACATACTCTTTTCTTGCACCGGGTCCCGTTTGCCATCGTGTGTGTGCACTGGCCTCACGTCAGCGGGCATGACCAGGCCGCGGTTCGGGAAGACAGTTCTGTCGGCGCGGGTTTGCGCGCAGGCATGAGTTTGTGTGGTACCATTTGTGAACAAAATCAATCACGTCCGTGCTACATACATCTTACGTTCGACGTGGTATCCAGGTACCCCCCCCCCCCCCCNCCCCCCCCAATCTCTGCATCCCGTGTGCGCCATGGAAAAATCATTTTCTTTCACCTATACATCCCATTCTGCAGGCGCGCCAGCATACTTAATCGTGAGCTCTACTCCTTTCTCGATGTTTTCAAGCGCCTTGATCGAGCACGTGTACCAAGGCCCATACTCGGCACCTCCGATAGCCTCGAACCAATCGGGCGTCGCGGCGTCGCCTACGGAGAGCTCTACATTCGGTGATTTCGAGTGATTGAGAAGCCGTAAGAGCCTAATGTCGTTATCCGCTTCGCATGCGAACACGTTGCCCCTCATGTTACGGCCTGGATCAATCGCTAGCGCGCTTTGTCCGTCTGCATGCATGATGTGCGAGTAGCAGCTGTAGTCTGCATTGGCAAACGCTGACTCCACTGGTTCATCTGGAAGAAGTGCCGCGAAAACATCTTGACCTCTATCGACCGCGCCTTTGCTGAAAAGACCGTTTCCCGCGATATCGCTCTTCTTACACACGACCTTCTCGTGCGCCCATGCGTAGTATCCGCGTGCATCAGCCGCCTGTTTGTGTGAGAGAGTGCGGTGGCATGGTGAAACACGATACATCTTAAATGAAAGCTGAGCGACAATACGATCATTTTTCATTTTTCTGAAGCGAACTGAAAGACACAATTCTCACCGTAATGGGAGGGATCTTCGCCACATCAGGAGGGTGCGAGCACTTTCGCCGAGGGCGCTGGTGTATGTCGCCAAGCTGATCAACGAGCTTTCTGCACGCCTCCTTGCGTTTTCTCTCCTTCACCAGCTTGCGCTTTATCATCTTATTTTCCTCCAGTTGAGCGGCTAATCTGATACGCAGCTCTTCGGCGGACTGCCTCTGTCGTTCGCTCTCTTCTTCAGCATGTTGCCGCCCGAGCGCCTCCTTGTGTTGTAGGCGAGTCACCTTCCGCCGTTCCTTTTCCTTTTCTGCCACCCTCTTCCGCCCTATCTCCTGGTAAAAACAAGAAGAGACAAAATTAAATGCACAAAGCGAGAATCGCTCGGGGGAGCACGACAGAAGTGCGCCCTGTTCTAATAACCTCTTCGGCGAGGGTTGGACACTTTGGGATATTAGCTGTCATACGGAACATGGCTGATGAATGAGACAACGATCCTTTTCTCTTTCGGTGCGTTGGTTTGTGCTGCTTGTTCTTGACGCTCTGCCTAGACATGAACAACAAACGGTGACAAAGAGTGACACACCTTTAGCTCGCAGGCGCGAATTTTTTCAGCAACACTGCTGCTACCGTTCTGCGCGTTTTCTATGCCGAACAGAAGCGAGGATTATGATGGCGACGAAACGGAAAATAGCATGAAACTCACAAGTTGCAATCTCAGCTTCGCTTGTGTGGCTCTCTCGCGCTCCTTGTCCTCGAGTCTTATGTTCTCTTTTCGCCTGACCGTATCCTCATCTCTCTTTGTCTTCCCCTGTGTTACGGTCGCAGCCAGCGCATGTTTTAGGGCACTGAAGTAAGCACTCTGTTGCTCAGTAAGTTTTGTATCTACAATTCATACCGCTGTGCTTCATACACTACATTGGCGGCTCGTCGTTCGTAGACTAATAGTACTTTCCACAGGCAGGCGTACTTTCTACACAGTCTGCAATACACATGCGCCGTTACATTTCCGCATCCACACCTTTTCCTTGTTGCTGAAACCCTGAGCCAACCTCGCCTCCCGCGGTTTCCTCTGCGACACAGGCTTCTTCTTCGCCGTAGACTTCTTCTCTGCCCGTCCTAACACAGAGCGATGATCACCCCCCTGCCTTTCCTGCTCTTCGCTGCCCTTCCGCTTGCCGGTGGCAGCACCGCCACCGCCGCAGTCGACGCTTTCAGCCCTACATCCGTCACCCCCTACCCGCTCTGCTATATGATCGAGAGTGCTACCGGTCTTCCTGGTCGACCGCCGGAGCTGCCTTTCCACCAAACCCCTTCGCGAGCCGCCGCCGCCGTTCTGTGCTCGCTGTCCTTCAACCGGCTCTTGTGCAATCACTTCGCCGGCATTGGCCTCGCTCGCTACCTGCATCGCCTCATCACCTCCCACCAAGGCCTCGCTCGCCGGAACAGGCTGCTCAGGCCCCATCTCTTGTCCAGCGTCCAGGACCGCAGCCAATTCTACCACTTTTTCGCCGGCAGCTACAGGCGCCTGCGTGGAGCCAGACAGCAGTAACGTACAGTCCGCGCCGCCCCCACCAGACACTGTGTCGATCGCACCCACCAACGTTGCGTCGGGGCCATCCCATGCAATGTCCACCACCGTGTCGTCCTCATCGCGCTCATGCGAAACGTCCGCCGCGCCGTATTCAACTGCCGCAGACACGGGAACCGAAGATCCCGCCGGTTCGGCCCCGCCATCCGAGCCCGCTTCGGCCACTGGAACGGTGCCAAGCCTTATAGATGCGGCGTCCTCCTATGCAATGGTAACAGGGGAAGCAGCGGTGTCAGATGTACTATGGACAAATCACACTCAACCCGAGTGGTACAGGCCTTTTGGTTGCCACACTTTCTTCCGTTTGTGCTTGCAATAATGTCTACAACCATTTTTGCAGCACAATTTCCCCCCTCTTTTTTTAAGCATAGTCAAATTTCAGACACAGTGCGCTTAGGAATCGCCATCACCCACCTCCTGCCAATCACCACCTACGCATCCGTTCTCTCCCCCGCCCCCGCTTCCGCTCCCGCTCCCACCCCCGCTTCCGCTCCCGCTCCCGCTCCCGCTCCCGCTCCCGCTCCCGCTCACACCACCACCCCCGTTCACACCATCACACCCTTCCCCGCTTGGCGCCGTTCCTGCACTCAAACAGGTGTCGGCGAGCAGATTCAGATTGGTCGCATTGCTGTCGACCCACCCTGCCCCTTCCGCTATTGCGCACCCACCCAACCACCTTTTGCTCCCGCTGCCGCCACCCCCACCACCCTCGTCGCCGCCGCTACTGCTGCTAGCGCTCCCAACACTTATCGGCACCGCTGCCAATGCTGGCGATGTTGGCGCCGACGCTACCGCCGTCTGAGCTGCTTCTATCGCTGCTGCTGGCTCCTCTACAGCCAGCGCTTCTGGCGGCAGTGCTTCCTCTGCTGCTGTTGGCTCCGCTGCTGTTGGCTGTCCTACCGCCGGCCGCCTCGCTTCCTCTATCGCCGTCTGCGTCGCGTTCTCTGCTGCTGTGCTCTCCTCTGTTAACGGCTGCATTAACTCGCCCTCGTCGTGCAAAGACTTCGCTGTGCTCCTGTTCGTACCGACACTCCCACCCCCACTTGTCAACACTCCCGCGTTTGAAGAGGCGGGTGTCGCCAAGAGTTCTAGATTTGTCGCGTTGGCCTGCCGCACCTCTTCCTCCGTTCGTCTGGTACGGCCGCCTCCGATGCCGCCGCCGGTACCCAACGTTGCCGCATGTGCTGCTTTTGCCGCTTGCAACACTTCAACTGGTGCCGCTCCAGCTGCTGCTGGCGCGCCCACATGCGTCACAGATAGCGGTGCCGACTCCGTCACCGAAGCAGCTCCGGTTGCCGATTTAGCCACCGGTACAGTCGCTGATATACGGGGTATGGAGATAATACGACCACAGCGCCCGTTCATCCCACTTTCCGCATGTTTGCGACAGTGTGTGAACTTCCTCTCGAATCCATAGTTGGCGGTGACTGGACACTCTGCAGATATACACATCCTTCTTGCTTGCAAGTTGATCATTCCGTTCTTGGCGTGGCGAAGGCAGAATTCTTTTTTTCTCTCGGCAGATGGGAAGCCGTAAGAAGAACGTTTGCTGCAACCACTCTGTCCGCACACCTTGGATTTGAGATCGATCATACCGTCTTCTCTATGCTCCCCACACACCACGACTAATGGTCTCCCGTCGGCCCCTGTTGGGGAATAAATCAGTTTACGATAGGAAAATGCACACGAAAACAAACAGTGTAAGACCGAGTATGTTTCTGTGTATGTTTGCCTGGCGCCTCCTTTTGCGTGCGCGCATAGTCATGTAGGCTCCTGACCTCGAACTGCTTACTATCTCTACCTGCTGTGCGACGGCTGTGTGTATGCTGCGTCTTTCTGCGTGCTGGCGCTCCCGCCTCCAAAACTGCTCTGCATCCAAACGCCATTTGTTTTTTGCACACATGGTAAGGTCATCTCCCTATGGTGTGGTGTGGAGGCGTGGCTCTAGTTCTACCATGCTATCGTGTGTCATCCAGTATCCTGTGCTGAGCTGAGAGATTCCGTGACTCATTGTCTGGCTAGACGCAAACCGTCGAAGTACTTGTGTGCACATACTCTGCACGCTGTTGCTGCTGCTGCTGCTGCTACTACTGTGCTTGCCTGACGCTTCCTTCTGTCGCTTGTATGGTCATGTAGGCTCCTACCTGCGAACTTGCTCGATACTTCGGTACTGCTGTGCGACTGCTGTGTGTATGCTGCGGTCTTCGTGTGTGTTGTAAGATCGCTCATCCAAAGCCTCTTCGGCGTATTCACCTCTCACCTCTGTGCCCGAATGATCCGTTTGTTTTTGTGCACACACGGCAGGGCCATCCCCCCATGGTGTGGAGGCGTGGCGTGGCGTTGGTCTTACAAGTAGCGACAGCTTGTCCAGCCCTTTGCCGACGCGCCCCGAGAGCGCGGACTATGGGGACTCCGTGCGTCATTATGCGTGTAGATTCAGTGTATGCTGGGTTGAGAGGTTCCGTGACTCATTATCTGTGTAGACTGATGCCGCCGAAGGCTCGTATACCCATGTTCTGCTTGGTGCTGCTGCTACTGCGGATCGCGCAGAGACCGCAGTGGGAGAGGTTCTTTTTGAAGTTTGGCGAGGGCTCTCCAAGATTCGTGGGTAATGATGGCTTCCGTCAGCGGTGAGCGGGACTCGTGAGATCGTGTCCTCGTCTCGGTACCCGCTCCCCCATGGATCTATTGCTACCTGAATACGTCAATTGAAAACTCCCCCGCGCCAAACACACGGTACCACGACGCCAGTTTATACATGGGCTGCGTCTACACCTGTCCCCGTGTCCTATGGTATCGTATGTTTGCCAAAACCAACTTTCGACCTCCTCGGTGAGCTGCCTCCAAGTACAATACGGAGTTGATTCTTTTGAACAAGACCCGATGACAGTCTTTGCCCTCCTCCCCGAGTTTGCGTTCAAAGTGCGCGAGCAGAACATGGGACACAAAAAATAAAATATAAAAAATAAAAAAAAAAAAAAATAGTTCTAGGAGAACTGCAGGAGAGCCGTGCATTGTTTTCGTGATGAAAGACTGAGCTTGTGTGCAAAAATCGAAAAAATGCCGATTGGTGGTGTTTTTGAAGCGTGCGTCTGGGGCGAGTCGTGTACGTATTTCGGCCTCTAAGGGCACCGGGGTACACGTTTTTCGTGATGTCTTTTTTACTGCCTTGCTTTGAACACCCATGAGCAACTCTGGTCAGCATGGGACTGGTACACCCTTCCTGGCTTCGGAGTGATCTACACTCGCTTACACTTGACTTTGCCAAAACAGGGGGTGTTTTTTCGTCTCAACATGGACCATCTTGACAAAAATCGCCTCTACGTTTACCTGTCGTTCTCGATCAGTTCTTCATGGTGCAGGTAGCCCAGAGTATCCTCGTGACCCTTTTTTGGCAGCAGAACTTTGCTTGGCATACGTGATAACCGCGCCTGAGGTTGAAAGTGCTTTCCACTGTAGAACAATATACGCAACAAAAATGACCAAAAAATACTCGGATCCTCCCCCGATCCACCCTCGCTCTCCGTTGCGGGCCGTTTCGGACCCAATACTTGGTTTTGAAAGTCACCCAGTGGCACAAAAGGATTCCAGGACATATGCGAAACCCAGTGCCAAGCCTGAAGGTCGCGCGAAACGCCGTTTGTCTACGAGCTACACTCGCCCGTAGCCGAAATGTTGTTCCCTCCCCCCCTTCAATTCACCAGGTGCGAACTTCAAGAAAGCTAGGGCGGAGGGTTCTCCCGGTGGCCTACCAGAGGAGCAAACGCGAAGTCACGATTAGAGTCCGTTGGAGTCGGATCTGTGTCGCATACAGGAGGCGTAAGGCGACCGGGAGAAAAGCACCACCTGACCGACGAACAAGAGCCCATCCGCCTGCTCGCTACCCCTCCCTTCCTGTGATCCGCCCTGTACATGTGGTATGTGTGTGTACTGTAAATGTGGTGTTGTGTGACTTTTGTCGGAATTGTCGTGTGGGCAAACAAACGGCGGCAGCCAGTTTCCTGTGCAGTTTTTTGGCTATATGTACAGGCACTCAGCAGATATCGCCTTGGAAGCAAAAATCCAAACATCAACACCGCCGTAGTTTCTTCAGCCGTTTTGGTTTCATCTCGATGTTGCTTTGCGGCCGACGGCAGAAGCCCCAAATTACAAGAACTTCATCAGCGGCGTGTGTGAGCGATTGGACGCTGCGGCCACGGATGGAGACCGGGTTGAGCCATATGTGCCCGTTGTTCGTTCTCTCGAAGCAACCAAATGATCATATTGCGCTGACCCGTTTGTCAAAACATCTGGTTTCTCGTCGGGAGTGGCTGTGAATTTTTCGAATGCGTTTTGCCGTTGATGGTTGTTTCCAGTGTTGCACGCTGCTGATGCCGGTGCTGGTGCTCTACCCTAAATGATCAACGCCTTATACCTCGCAAAATCCCTGCCACTCCCCCAATCACTTTCCGATTATCGTACCCCCCGTGCGCCGCCACGCCTTCCAACAGCTTCTGTGTGCGGTATGTGTCGTGACAACCAAATAGTGACAACCAAAGGAAGAAGACAGCAGTTGCTTAATGCGCGATAGATGCTTTATTTTGTTGGTCCTTCAGGTGTTTTGACCACCAATCCACAGTCGCGCGAGGCGCGTTGTACCACCGGTGCACCAGCGCTTGCAGGGCCACGACGCAGGACGGCGGTGCCAGCATCCAGTGGCGGCCCTGACATACATGTTAGCCAGACGGCAGCAGGGGTGCGACAGCTCAGCGGTAAGGGTGTACTTCATTTCAATTCTCTGGTTGGCCTTGCGACCTTGACTGTTCATGTTTCGTGGCACTCTAGTCAATGGCCGTGGTATTTGTGTATTTTTTCGACGCGGGCGATTCGCACCACACCACCCTGCCGCATTTTGTTCCCAGGTACTATTCGGGAGCGCTACTAGCGAAAGCAGCTGGCACGAGCGTTTTGGCAGAGAGCTGTTGGGAGGATTGACAGAGAGCGGAAGGGCGTGGAGACGATTGTGATGCGGGGAGGGGGAAGAGGTGCAGATAGCGTGTCGATACTCAAGAGTCCGGGGTGCTCACTTGTGGCTGGAGAAATTAAACATGTTTTTTTGTATGGCACGCGGTTGCTTGCTTTTCATCAGCTGGCGGTGTGCGAAGTGGAACACGTTGACGGTGCCTTGCCTCAACACCAAGTCACCGGTACATTCGGGGCAGATTCTCTGCATCTATTTTGCGCGGATGTGGTCGCGGTGGAAAGTTTTTTATCAATCGCATTTTTGCAATTCCACTTGTGGTAGGCGCGGTAGAGGCGGCGCCGGTTGTCAACGAGCGCGGGACTTTTGTGGGGGAGGGGGCGGTAGGGGCTTGGTTATGTTACCGCCAATCAATCAACATTGGCGCTTGGCCTGCCCGAAAAAATATGAGCGCGTGGTGGCGCAATCATCGCCTCTACGCAAGCGTTTGTGATACAATAGACGTTGCTCTCGACGTGCAAGGCACATTTTGAAGCAACACCTTGCCGCCGACTGGTTGCAACATTGGCAAACCCTGCTGTTTTTGTCTCCCAGCAAACTGCTCTTCCCTTACCCTCCGTCGTTCGCGCTTAAAACATTTCTGGTGGGCGGAACTCACGCAACAGCTGTGGCGAATTTGTTTTGTACTTCCTGCACAGTCGATGCTGCTTAACCGCCTTCCTTTTCCGCAGCGTCCATCTCGCGTAGACGCCGTGTGAACGTGCGTAACATACGAACGGGCGCCGGCCGCCACGCCTGGGGCCAATGTACCCCGGCGCGGGTAAAGTAAGTTATCTGGTTTTGAGACCGTGATACGGGAGAGGCACGTGTGGCATCACCGGTTCGTTACCACCGTGGGCTCCTCTACTACCGGCTCCGTCCCGCTCACTGAACACAATTTGGGGACATGCGAGGGGAGCCGTCGTCACGAGCATTCTAATCCGGAAACGACGTACGAATACCAGGCACGCGCACGCACATTCTGCCAGGTCCCAAAAACAATAATCGATCTCGTGACTGCCTTCTTGCCCGACGCGATGTCGATGGCGTCGTTCGCGGGAGCGTCCCGACGCTCGAAAGGCGCCGTCTACGCCACCATCCCGGCCGCTATAGAAAGCCCCAAGCAGGACACGACCAAATTCCAGCGAGAAACCCTCTGCAACCTCGCGCAAAATCCGAGTATCGGACACCTGAAGTCCATTGTCGAGCGTAAGTGCATACGCAGAAAAAAATACAAGGGAGGAATATCCCGGTGCATCCATACTGCACCAAGGGCCTCGAAGTCAACGTGCAGTACACCCGGACTGGGACACCGGATGAGCTCATGCCTCTCGTGCGGTCGACGATACCGGTCAATGTCAGGGAGGGTTACAGCTCTTACCACGGCCAATGCACTTACGAGACAGAAATCCCCAAAGCTATCCCCGGTGTCATCCCGAGAAACATGACATTTGCTCACTAGAACGGATCACACCAACGAGGTCAACGCTTGGATGGAGAGAGTTCGCCAAGAGAGGCGCGCTGAACAAGAGAAACGCGCGACAGCAGAAACAGAGTGGCGTGAACGAGCAAAGGAGGGCGTCAATCTGAGGTGGATGCGCACGGCACCGAAGAGCGCGAAGAAGCGCGTGTCGAAAGTTTCCGCGGAGGACAGCGTCGCCGTGGTGGCCGCCAACGCAGACTTGTCTGCGATAAACGAGATGCTCCTAACGCTGGATGTATACGGTCGTGCACGCAAGAGTTGGAAGCCGCGTACGCCCTGACTCGGAAAGTCGGAGAGGTGGCGGTATCTTTGCTTCGTGGCCACCACCGCGTTCGAGCCGTCCGCGGAGCTTGTCGCGCGTGAAAAGGAAGATCAAACGAGGGAGGTCAGGGCGATGGCTCGTGAAGGACAAGTACATATCGGAACAGCCCGGGGTGGTGAAGTCAGACGACCGCGCGTGATCGCGATGGTGGCCAATGATGATAGGGTTAGGGTATAGGCGCTTCGGGAGGTTGTAGCCCTACCAGGGGAAGTAAGGATCTTTTTTGATGAACCAATCAACTTTTCGAGAGCGTTTCGTCAGAGTTTACGCAAAAAAAAAAGGGTTACCAAGCTTGTGCCCCTTGCTCACAACTGGTCAGGGCCGTCTTCAAAAGCCAAACAAACTGCCTTCAAGAACACCAGAAACAACAGTATGAACAACGCCATGGACAACAAGATCGGCGTCGACCAGGAATCGAACAAGGCCACGACCGCGGGTGTTGATGACATGCCACCTGGGTTTCGGTTCCTGTCTGATGAAGATCGCGAGCAGTTCGCCAAACAAATGGTCGAGCAGTCTCTTAAACGTAAGCGCCAGGAAATCGAAGAAAAGGACATCTCGCTCAAGCGCAAGCGTTGCGACAACGTGATGAGCTGTTACAGCTGGATGTCTGATTTCGGCTTTGAGGTCGAGTTCGATTCGCGCACAGTATTTCATATTTTGGATACCATGGCCGTCCTCACCAAAGTAGACATTGCTGTCAAGGGCGAGGTGCTTTAAACTTGCTTGCGGATCGACAAGTCAACGTCGCCAAGGTCCTCTCGAAAAACCCATGCACCTGACACGCACAGCACAGGTCAACCGAGGAACGATGTCATCCTGTAACCGGGATGAATACGACCGTGCACGGACGAGTTGGAAGCCGTGTGCGCGCTGATTCGGGAAGTAGGAGATGTACCGGTGTCTTTGCTTTGTCGCCACCGCCATGTTGGACCCGTTCGCGAGGAGCTCGTCGCGCGTGAAGAGGCAGAACAGACGAGGGAGGCCAGACCCATGGCTCGAGAGGACAAGCACTCTCTGAAACAGCCCGGGAGAACCGGGCGGATATGCAAATGTGGCCGCATGACCGCGCGTGAATACGATTTCAATATGTGCTTGGGTTGTTGCCCGATGATTACGTGTCAGCGGTGAAGATAGTGTGGCAATCAAGTCGTTGGAATCAAACAAACTAAGCCAGGTCGGCAATCATGGCGTCAAGCTTGGCCCCTTCGAGGATGGCCTTAATCTAATCACATTCAACAATCATGGCGTTACGCCTGGCTTCTTCTGCTTTGAGAACAGAAAGGCGCTTGCGCACTTTTCGTAAGGGCAACCGGTGAGACTCGTTTTCTTCGCAAGACCTTTTCACACGACGAGGCGGTGTACTTCGGCGTCGTAAGTTCTGAGTGAACAATCGGGAGTTGACGCAAGTTGGGTTGTTGTCTCCGCAAACAAAAATTTACCCCAAACTTTCCAAGTCAAGACATGTGTAGGGTGTCACAACTCGTCTGCAAGCATGTTGGCCTGGCTCATCGGCTGCTCCACTCATGGAATCTCAAAGGAAATGCTGTCGACAACGAAAGATGCTCTGAAGCTGCTGAATAATCTCACGTCCGACGGGAACATCGGGCATGACTACTACCAAGCGCCTGACTTCGCTTCTACAATGGACAGAAACCTCGCGGATTACATGCCCTTTTGCATAGCGAAGGAAAATATTTGGCTGGTGACGAGTGGGTACAAAATTCGACAGGCCCACCACGACGCATTCTATATCCTCAGCGCCTGTCAACTCCCAGTTCCGGTCGATATTTTGTACGCCAATGCCAAGCAAGCCTCCAAGGATGTAAAGTACACGTGCAACGGCATGAAGACCGAAAACACCGGCTGGGGTAAGCACACCCAGGAGCGCATCGACGAGGCGTGGGCCACCCTCGAGGCGGACACCGTGGACATCGAGTCGGGGCCCCCTCCGACATGCGGTTGCAGGGCCATCAGAGCGCAACTTTTTGTTGCGGAGAAGAAGGAGAACTGAACAATTACGGGGTGTTTGGAGTGACAGAGTAATTTGGATTATCTGCAGAGCCTGGCATGTCGCTCTTTTTTTGGAGGCTCGAGGGTTGGCACATCAATAGTACCGCCGATGTCTCACGCACTTGGCGTCTGTGTGTGAAATCGTGGGCTAAAATGCGTAGGTAAGGGCAAGAATGGAGACGCNTTTTGTTGCGGAGAAGAAGGAGAACTGAACAATTACGGGGTGTTTGGAGTGACAGAGTAATTTGGATTATCTGCAGAGCCTGGCATGTCGCTCTTTTTTTGGAGGCTCGAGGGTTGGCACATCAATAGTACCGCCGATGTCTCACGCACTTGGCGTCTGTGTGTGAAATCGTGGGCTAAAATGCGTAGGTAAGGGCAAGAATGGAGACGCGGTGCACAAGGTGCACAAGGTGCACAAGGTGCACAAGGTGCACAAGGTGCACAAGGTGCACAAGGTGCACAAGGTGCACGCATGGAGTCCAGCAGACTTGGGGTCAGCCGCGCTTTCACAGGAAGAGTTTTTGCCCTAGCTGACACTCTGGACATCCGCCATGTCACTTCAATTTCTGACGGGGACAAGACGTCACACGTTGACGATATTGCGATCAGCACGTTACAGGGATGGCAAGTTACGATTTCAAAATTCGCGCTCATAAGGAAGAGGATTCGTACGGACGAGCAGAAGGAAGCCGAGTTTCAGCGCCGCCACCGCGTGGTAAAAGACGAGGGGGTGGAAACGCTCGGTTATACACGCCGTTGCGCTCCCTGGGAGGACAGTCTGTAGTACAGTTTGCGGGGAGAAACTAAATCTTCGATTGAGTTCTTACCGAGGGGAATGCGGAGTGTATTGCGCGGCTCGTACACGATGGCATTCTTGATGAGAACTTTGAAGTTTGACGGGTTATGCTCGCGCCGCTTTAACGTGCTTGGGCTCGCTAAAAAACAAAATCTGCTAGCAGAAGTGTGCTTCTCGGGGGATTTGGTCGCCGTGGAAACTCTTTTATCAAGTGCAGCCGGCTGGACCGCCCATTTTTGGTGTTGCCTGCACGGTCGATGTCAATAAGCCACCTTCCGTTTCCGAAGCGCCCACCGCACGTTGATGAGGTGCTTTTGCAGCGCACATTTCAGCACGCAGTGTTGCTCGAACGCATGATTTGATTTATTTTTTCAGATCTGCCAACACCGACTCCTCAACTACCAACAACGGGGCCGACAGCGCTCGGCGGCAACAAACTCAAACTTGCGCACGAGACTGTTGATCCGCGTGCACCACTTCGCGCACCACCAACGCTCTGAACGAGCTCCCTTCTTTCAAATTTAGAATGGAGTCTACGTGGTCGACGGCCTCGTGGTACGAACGGAAACAATGAGTAATAATGAGTACTGTCTTTCTCACAGGGCCGACAATACGGAACGACCGGAGGCGCATTTCGCGCAGTGGGCAATTATGCTAATTCCTTTGCCTCGCGAACCCTTTGGTGACAAACTGGCGTGCGCCCATCTACCTCGTCCGACGACGAGGACCAGATTTACCGCGTTGGCCGTAATTGCTGAGCAACACTGTGTGTATGTGCGTTGCGGTGTTTTGATTCGTCCGTTGGTGATAGCTTGATAGGCGGCGCACGATGATTGGCCAGCTGTATGCTTGATGGGGCTACTCCTTGAGCATTTTGTATTTCACCGCATAATGGATATTGAAAGAATCTACGGAGTCACGCGACATGCACATGCTGAGAAACGACCCACAGGACCGCATCTCCACCATCCTTGCACTAAGACCGGCGTAAAAGTGATGTGGAGCTGCGGCTTATTCTTTTGAACTCGAAGCTTTTTTCTGGGGAGGGGGCAGGTCCCACCTGTCTGTTTGTCCGCAACCCACAACGGGCAGGAGCGAAACCTGCCATTGGGGCGTGCATCGTAAGTGAAGTATCTGATTGAAAGCACGGTGCCGGGAGGTGGCTGTTGCGCTGATGAACCATCTCGTATGCCAGTGTAAGCGAATGCTTGCAGTGGACGTGGAAACCAGCCGGAGGAGGTGTGCAACCTTGTTCTCCGTCACTGTTTTTTTGTCAGCAGAAGAAATGCGCAGTAGATTCGTACGTGTGCGACAGCTATGCCGTGGAATCAGCTCCGGTGTACTTCGAAGATGCTGTGAGACGTCCCCTAGACACATGCTCACAAGGCTTCAGCTTACAATTTTGAAGTGTCGATTGATCTTTGGATCAACGCGCAGACAGAAAAAGTTGCAGATCGTCTGCCTCTCTCACAACAGCAGGGAGAGAGAACTAAACGTCATCGCAAAGAATCCGCTGTGGTATAGGTGCTTTTGTATCTTGGAGGGGGACGGACACCATCTCCTCTACTTGTCCGCGACGCTACGTACGCCGGGGCGGGGAGCCAAACAAAACTTCTCGTTTGTCCGCAACGCTACGCCCACGGGGAGGGTAGCCACAACAGACTTCGGGGCGCGCGCGGTTAGTTATGTGTCTCAATAGACTAGGTCTTAGGGTGCCGGGAGCACGCTTCCTCACTCATGAGCCATCTCGCCGCCAGTGTAGGCGACTTGAGACGCCCTCCAAAAGCCTTGGTTACAAACCATCTACATTCCCGATCCCATCCCGAAACATGTCAGACCATAGCGGAATCATTTCCCCTCTCTTGTGTTTGCAAAAAGGGCTTTCACCACACCTTCTTCACACCCACGTGTTGCAGCGCTGCCGTGTGCACTTCTCTCCGGCGGCTGAACCGTATGCCGAACTAAAGCAGTGCCTCCCTCCCTGCGCATACTACAATAACGGGTACGTTTCGACCAAGGCTACGACCGTGATTGAGGTCACGACAAGCATCCTCAAGATCGGCGAGGACATGCCATTCGTGGGGATCTCTGCAAAGCGGTGCTGAATGCCAAGGGTATGGTGGACAAGGCCAGTGACAACCAAGTCAAGCTGGAGAAGCTTTGCGAGTGGTGCTGTGGGATCACCATGCAGGCGACCCTGATGATCAACGTTTCTCCCCTCGAAGATTGTGTCCAGGAACTCGAGGGAATGGCCGACCGCTGCAGCAAAAATGTTGCTGCTAGTGGCGCTCGCCTCATCAGTTGTAATTAGTAGGAGCGATCGGCTCCGATTGTCGCTGATGTATAAATGTTTACCCTGCCTTCCGTCGATTGTTGCGTTTTGGTGTTTTGTCCGGAGCGTTTGCTTTTTTCTGATTTTCTGGTAGCGCGCGGAGGAGTTGGTTGGATTAAGACAGAGAGTAATGAGCAGAGATCGGGGCCATTCGTAACGTGAAGACACCAACAAAAATATATATTCAAATGCTACATGGCATGTCCCCGAAACACCCCAAAGTACGCCGCATCACCGGAGGCCAGCCGTGGGGAGAGCTATCGCCCTGCTGTCTGATGCACTGATACAAAATCAAACTGCCCAGAGTTTCGACCGAAGCCAAACCGCTTCCAATATCACGCTTGTCGCACTCCCGCAACCTTCGTGGCCACCGCCCTTCAATATATACCCTCTTTCCCATGTCCCCGCCGGAATTCCGCTTCGAAAAACAAAAGCCTTCAACTAGCTCTCAAGAACACTGCAGCAGCCACCTTCTTCCAGTGTATGCCACATTCTCCTCGACGGTGGCGATCTAGGCGGGGCGGGGGGGCGTAGCCTTCCAGCGCCTGTTCGAATTCCAACAAGCAAGGCAAAATTGATTCAGTCGGGGTCGTTTCGGGGTATGTGGTCGCCGTCAAAACAGCCCAAACAGTTTGGGCGCGCGGCACAGGCGGTGCCGATCGTCAAACTCATGCTACTTTGGCGCGCTATGGCTGGCCCAAAAAGTTAAGTTCAAGCCGTTGCCGCCGTAGAAAAAAGGGAAACGAACACACACCAAATTGCCACGCCACTCACCGTCATGTTGTTTTCCAGGATCAGCTATTCCGATCCCCAGATTCCCTCCCTCCTCCCTCGCCTATCGTCTCAACCTCTTCGCCAGTGCTCGCTCCATGCGTTCCGCCCGTATTTCTTCGCTCTGCACGAGCTGAGGAAACAGCAACTGCCGTACATTAGTTGGTATTTAATCTTTTTGTGACCGGTCAACACTCCCTCCCCCATACCCGCCCCTCCCGCGTCCGGGACGCCTCTGATAGCCGCAAGCTTATTCCAGCCACCGCATTACGCCCCATCAGCTACCGCCGCTTCCACCCGGGCCGTCCCACTACAGGCCGCACCGTTTTTTCGCGAGCCTCAACAAAACGGCGGTCAAAGTCCGGATTATTTCGCGGGAGGCCCGAGACAACCCTGAAAGGCGGGGTCCAATTCAGCATATAATTTCTCTGCCTTTGTGCCGCCTTATCTTGCTGGTGCTCTTGTCCCCGCCCGCCGCTCGACACGCCACCGTCGCGAGCATCACCCGTGACGGTTTCAGCATCGGCGGCGGCAGGTTCACCGGCTAGTGTCGGTGTCAGCTCGGCGCCAGCATTGCAGATGGCCTCGGTGACAGCGGCGGCGGCGAGCTCAGCCAGATCACCACCGCTCCCGGTTTGAATGGGAGCGCCCTCGGTGACAGCACCAGCGGCGCGCTCAGCCACAGCACCATCGCTCCCGGTTTGAATGGGAGCATCCAGGAAACGGATGGGAACATCCAGTAGACGCTCCCATAGGCGCTTCGCCTCATCGTCAACCTTTTTTTGCTCGGAGGTGCGTTTACGGACCGGCTGATTCACCCGTCGGTGAATTTCTTTCCGCGCAAACTCTTCACTATCTTTCTTCTGCCGGGCCGCAAAGCTCTCCATGGTTTTCAAGCTGTGCGTGTACGCTTCCTCGTCGGCTTTAATCTCCTTAAAAAAATGGAAGGGGGGAAGCATAGAGGGGGG